CTTGCCCCACCCCTATCCCAAACTCCCCCCGGAGAATTCCCTAAAAATCCCTGGGAATTCCCGCTCCCCAAACCCACCGATGGACACGACGTCCCCCGGCACGATCTCGTCGCTGCAGATCGGCCGCCACTTCCTGTTCCTGTACACCTGCAAAACACCCCCAAAACCCCCTGAAATCACCCCAAAACTGCAGGAGAGGCTCAGAATTCCCTCAGAATTCCCAAAATTCACCTGGATCATGTAGGGCTTGTTGCCCATCCGGCGGATCTCCGACATGTTCCGCATCTGCTGCTGCACCAGCGACGCCTCGAAGGCCACCAGCATCGACAGGGTGAAGACGCTGTAGTACCAGTACTCGTCCAGGCACCACAGCCCCACGCAGAAAACCTGGGAGAAACATTCCCAGGATTCCCAAAAAATCCCAAAATCCCAAAAAAACCCAAAAATCTGGGGTTTGGGGGGGGTTTGGTTGGGATAATTGGAGTATTTTGCTCCAAGAAGTCAGAAAAGAAGGAAAATTCTCCCTCTCCAGGAACACCTGAGGGGGGTCAGGAGTTGTCCCCACGCAGAAAAACCTGGAAAACATTCCCAGGAATCCCAAAAAATCCCAAAAAATCCCAAAAACCCCCAAAATCTGGGGTTTGGGGGGAGTTTGGTTGGGATTTGTCTTGGTTGGGTTGAGATAATTCCAATAGTTTGTTCCCCAGGAGTCACAGAAACCCCCCCTGAGGGGGGTCAGGAGTTGTTCCCTACACACAAAAACCTGGAAAACATTCCCAGGATTCCTCAGGAAGTCCAAAAAATCCCAAAAACCCCAAAAATCCCAAAAATCTGGGGTTTGGGGGGGGTTTTAGTTGGGATAATTGGAGTATTTCGCTCCGAAAAGTCAGAGAAATCAGCCCTGAGGGGGGTCAGGAGTTGTCCCCACGCAGAAAACCTGGGAAAAACATTCCCAGGATTCCTCAGGAATCCCAAAAAATCCCAAAAACCCCAAAAATCTGGGATTTGGGGGGCGTTTGGTTGGGATAATTGGAGTATTTCACTCTAAAAAGTCAGAAAAGAAGGAAAATTCTCCCTCCCAAGGAACACCTGAGGGGGGTCAGGAATTGTCCCCACGCAGAAAAACCTGGAAAACATTCCCAGGATTCCTCAGGAATCCCAAAAATCCCAAAAAACCCCAAAAATCTGGGATTTGGGGGGGGTTTTATTGAGAAAATTTGAGTATTTTGCTCCGAAAAGTCAGAAAAGAAGGAAAATTCTCCCTCTCAAGGAACACCTGAGGGGGGGCAGGAATTGTCCCCCAGACAGAAAAACCTGGAAAACATTCCCAGGATTCCTCAGGAAGCCCAAAAAATCCCAAAAACCCCAAAAATCTGGGATTTGGGGGGGGTTTGGTTGGGATAATTGGAGTATTTTGCTCCAAAAAGTCAGAAAAGAAGGAAAATTCTCCCTCCCCAGGAACACCTGAGGGGGGTCAGGAATTGTCCCCACGCAGAAAAACCTGGAAAACATTCCCAGGAATCCCAAAAAATCCCAAAAACCCCAAAAATCTGGGGTTTGGGGGGGGTTTGGTTGGGATTTGTCTTGGTTGGGTTGAGATAATTCCAATAGTTTGTTCCCCAGGAGTCACAGAAACCCCCCCTGAGGGGGGTCAGGAGTTGTTCCCTACACACAAAAACCTGGAAAACATTCCCAGGATTCCTCAGGAAGCCCAAAAAATCCCAAAAACCCCAAAAATCTGGGGTTTGGGGGGAGTTTGGTTGGGATTTGTCTTGGTTGGGTTGAGATAATTCCAATAGTTTGTTCCCCAGGAGTCACAGAAACCCCCCCTGAGGGGGGTCAGGAATTGTCCCCACACCACAAGAAAACCTGGAAAACATTCCCAGGATTCCTCAGGAATCCCAAAAACCCCAAAAATCCCCAAAATCTGGGGTTTGGGGGGAGTTTGGTTGGGATTTGTTTTGGTTTGGTTGAGATAATTCCAATAGTTTGTTCCCCAGGAGTCACAGAAACCCCCCCTGAGGGGGGTCAGGAATTGTCCCCACACCACAAGAAAACCTGGAAAACATTCCCAGGATTCCTCAGGAAGCCCAAAAAATCCAAAAAAACCCCAAAAATCTGGGATTTGGGGGGGGTTTGGTCGGGATTTGTCTCGGTTGGGTTGAGATAATTCCAATAGTTTGTTCCCCAGGAGTCACAGAAATCCCCCCTGAGGGGGGTCAGGAGTTGTTCCCTACACACAAAAACCTGGAAAACATTCCCAGGATTCCTCAGGAAGTCCAAAAAAATCCAAAAACCCCAAAAATCTGGGGTTTGGGGGGGGTTTGGTCGGGATAATTGGAGTATTTTGCTCCAAAAAGTCAGAAAAGAAGGAAAATTCTCCCTCCCAAGGAACACCTGAGGGGGGTCAGGAATTGTCCCCACGCAGAAAAACCTGGAAAACATTCCCAGGATTCCTCAGGAAGCCCAAAAAATCCAAAAATCTGGGGTTTGGGGGGGGATTTGTCTTGGTTTGGTTGAGATAATTCCAATAGTTTGTTCCCCAGGAGTCACAGAAATTCCCCCTGAGGGGGGTCAGGAATTGTCCCCACACCACAAGAAAACCGGGAAAACATTCCCAGGATTCCTCAGGAAGCCCAAAAAACCTCAAAAATCCCAAAAATCTGGGGTTTGGGGGGGGTTTGGTCGGGATTTGTCTCGGTTTGGTCGAGATAATTCCAACAGTTTGTCCCCAGGAGTCACAGAAACCCCCCCTGAGGGGGGTCAGGAGTTGTTCCCTACACACAAAAACCTGGAAAACATTCCCAGGATTCCTCAGGAATCCCAAAAAATCCCAAAAACCCCAAAAATCTGGGGTTTGGGGGGGGTTTTAGTCAGGATAATTCCAATATTTCGCTCCCAAAAGCAGGAAAATCTCTCTCCTGGGAAAGACCTGAAGGCTCAGGAATTGTTTCTCCCTCATCCACGCCCAGAATTCCCGAAATTCCAAGGGTTTCCTGGGATTTGGAATGGGATTTGTCAAGGATTTTGGTTGTTTTATGTCACGAATTTAAATCTGGAATTCCAAGAAGTTGGAAAAGGAGGAAAATTCCCTCCCCAGAAAACACCTGGAAGGGCGGGAAGGATCCCAATCCAGCCCAAAATTCCTGAAATTCCAGGGATTTCTAGGAATTTAAAGGGGAATTTTAAGGAATTGTCTCGTTTTACGTCATGAATTTAAATCTGGAATTCCAGGAAGTTGGAAAAAGGAGAAAAATTCCCCTCCCAGAAACACCTGGAAGGGCGGGAACGATCCCAATCCAGCCCAGAATTCCCAAAATTCCGGGAATTCTCTGATTTCCGCCCATCCCAACACTGAATTCCAGAAAGTTGGGAAAAAAAAAAAATCCCAGGAAAAATGAGGAAAAAGAAATAAATCCCCCACTCAGCTCCAAATCCCTGGAGATTCCCAATCCCTGGAATCTTCCCGGCCATCAGTCCCGTAAATCCCGGGATTTCCGAGCGGGAATTGTGGGAATTTTTCCCGGTTTTTTTACCTGGAAGACGAAGAAAGGAGCTGTGGCTCTTTCCTTGAACAATTCCAGGAATTCTGGCACCACCATCTCGGCCCTGGGGGGAGGGAAAAACAACAACAAAACAACAACAAAAAGCAGGAATTTTCAGGGAATTCCCATCCCAAAAAAATAAAACCAACAACTTTTCCAGAGGGGAAATAATCTCCTGGTTTTTATTTACTTGGAGTTTGTTCTTTTCCTGATTTTATTCCTTCCTCTTCCCAATTTTATTCCTTCCTCTTCCCAATTTTATTCCTTTCTCTTCCCAATTTTATTCCTTCCCCTTCCCAATATTTCTTTTCCCAATCTTTATTCCTTCCTCTTCCCAATTTTATTCCTTTCTCTTCCCAATCCTTTTTCCTTCTCCTTCCCAATATTTCTTTTCCCAATTTTATTCCTTCCTCTTCCCAATTTTATTCCCCTCTCTTCCCAATCTTTATTCCTTCCTCTTCCCAATTTTATTCCTCCCTCTTCCCAATCTTTATTCCTTCCCCTTCCCAATCCTTATTTACTTCAACTCCAGGACTAAAATTTCAACAAAAACTCCAAAATTAAAACCTGAACTCCAAGATTAAACTCCAAGATTAAACTCCAAGATTAAACTCCAAGATTAAACTCCAAGATTAAACCTGAACTCCAAGATTAAACTCCAAGATTAAACTCCAAGATTAAACCTGAACTCCAAGATTAAACTCCAAGATTAAACC